GTCCTGTTCCCAGCAGGCCTCCACAGGCTCTAAGATGGCGGAAAGAGTCGTGCATTTTTTAAAAGATTCATTTCTTTTCATTTTAAACATATGAATGTTTACCTGCATGCATGTATGTGTACCATGTGCATGCCTGGTCCCCTCAAAGGTCAGAAATGAGTATTGGAAGCCCTAAAACTAGAACTATGCATTGTTGTAAGCCTCCACCTGCATGCTGGGAACCAATCCTAATCCTCTGCAAAAACAACAATTGTTTTTTAAGCAGTGAGCCATCTTTCCAGTTCCTGATTTTGTACACTCTTGAGCAAACCCTTTTCTACATGAATCATGAAGCACTTCTAAGAGGTACATCTAGAAAAAATGAAGTGATTACCTTCCTAATGAAATAACTGACCAACAGTATGACATTTAGTAATAATGTTCATCCTCACAAACCATTAGTTTTTTTCCACTGAACTTATTATCCTCTGAACAGTGTGATATGCTCATGCAGGCATTAACACATTGCTTGGCATATACATACAAATTAAACTGTATCACTATCCCATGTCTCCTAGCTAGAAAGCAACTACATCAAACACCAGCTAATTGTTCCAAGCAGCAAATGTATCTGAAAGTCCAAGTGAGAAGGGGGTGGTATGTGTCAGCATACATAGGCAAGACCTTCCCCAAAAGATAAGCCCCATCCTACAAGGGTATTTATTATAAAATCTTCTTCCACCATTTCCAAATTCTCAACACCAGTGGACCTTAGTAGTTATAATTGCCTTCTCAGAATAAGAGAGATTTAAATAAAATTCAAAGATACAAATCCTCCTACAAATACAAATGCATTTATATTTCCACTTAAAGTATCTTTTTCAGAGCACTACCTTTATTTCCAAAGATACCAATAATAGGAAGCAACCTCCTCGTGGGTAAGTGTGGCTGAGCTGGGCGTCCTCAGTTTAGCTTCTCTCCTCCCTCGCTGAGATGCTGAATACCTGGGAACCTGCGCTTCTCATCCTTCCTCTGTGATTCCTACGGAAAAGCATGGCCTGGTTCTCCCATTGTCATCTAGTCACTTAGGAAGAGTCCCACATTTGCTGAAGGTGATAGTTTGCCTTTCAGACTCTGCAGTCCGTGCATTACTGTTCTCTGGGGCCTTTCCGTCTGCTGCTTCTCACCTCTGTCATGCCAGCCATGTTCCTTCTTACTGTCTCTGACCACACTACTCCCATGCTGCATTAAACATTTAAAGAGATACGAAGATCTTCGTAGGTCCATAAGCTCAGTTCCACTTTGAAGTCCCTCCCTCCACCCCATATGCAACACCAGGAGATATGCACATTGGCAAATGACAGTAACTGAGTGTAAAGAAAGCCTTAATTGAGAACACCCAAGTTAATTTTAAAACTCATCAAGCTAATATAGCCTCATTTTTAAATTTAATGGTTTTAGCCACTCTGTTTTAACTCATGTAATATAATAAAACTTAGTTCAAATTCATTTGAACTCATCAGGTTTTTTTTTTCCAATTCACTGAAATGTTTCTATTCAACTATTGTTTTTAAACAACTAATGAATCTTTTTCTTTCTACAAGTGAGACATTTTTTTTCTATGCAGATCTTAATATATAATTGCCCTGTCTCTCTTTTATCTTTCTTTGTGTTCCACACTGACACTGGTTGCTTTGTGAATTATGGGGGTGGGGAGCATACATATATATGTGGAAAGAACAGATATCAGTACAGTTATTCTGTAATAAAATTCTTTACATTGTAAGCTGGCTTTTAGAGGCTGTCGTCTAATCTGAGGCAAACCGGAAGTGCTTTCAACACTGGTACTATGGAGGGTGCTTCAATTATTTAACATTTCTTTTCCTAGCAATACAAAAATAAATGAATAAATAATAAACATATCTTCTCTTTGTACTATGGTATAGTTCTTGTGCCAGGGATCTCACAGTGAATGAGACAAGGAGCCTGCCTTTAGCCCATACTCATTGCAGAAATTGATAAACTTCAGATAAGTCAAATTACTCAGCCTGCAGATATGACAGTAGATTTGCTGATTCTCAAATTCAAGGCCATATCAACAACTTCATTTTCTGTAGTTCTGAGTCTGACTTCTGCTCAAGATGCTCCCCTCACCAAGAGAGGGTTATATGACAGGTTCCTCGTTGTACTATAACAGGGGGAAGATGAGAAGCTCCTGGGGTCAACCTTCTTCTTCTTCCATTGGCATTACTTTACTTTATTAGCAGCATAGAATTCACAATTCAGCAAAAAATTATTGTGTATTGTATTAGTCAGGGTTCTCTCCTGTTCTAGACTTACTGACTCTTCAATGCATGTCCTTAGATTGAAGAGACATAAAAGGATGAAGTAAAGACTTGATTAAGTATGGGAGGAATTCGATGGAAGCCATACAGACTTCTTTTGTGCCTGGGGAAGGGTCTCCATGAGGGGATCTCTAACCTGCATCTTCTAGGAGACAGAAAGTGAAGCATGCTTCTTTTATTCCTTTGTGTGTATCAGATACTACTGTAGACACTGTAGACACAGCAGCAGAGAGACATACAGTGGACACATACACAAATACTCATTAGATAGCAGTACATGCTAAGCACAAAATAAAATATGTGAGGAGGGGAAGTGAGTTATAAGGGCTGTAGTTAGCAAAGAGTGATGAGCAGTGTCCTTTTGTCTTAGGACTGTCAGAGGCACTCCTGAACAGTAATGGGACAAGGACACAGGGAAATCATTTCAGCCAGGAACAGGGGCACACAGTGTACAAATGAAACTTAGGAGAAACCAACAGGTTTTCTTCTGCTTGACCATGAGTTAAGACTGAGGAGAATGTATAATGAGGTTTAACCAGGTACTGTAAAGCTCTGAGCATCACTCGCTGTCAGCTGAAGAGAAGCGTTGCTGGCTTTGGAAGATGATTGAAGAGTGAAGTGATACCATTAGGTTTTCTGTGGTTATTTTTGGATTAGGTTTGGATGGCTTTGATGTGATCTTAGGTTATCTGTAGCAGAGTATGGAAGATGAACCTGAAAGAGAAGCAGAAGAAGATCCTGCGGCCTAAGTTAAATAAGGAAGGGAAGGTATGGCCAAGACAGCAAGTTCTGGTGTTTCAAAATGTCTGGTTTATAGGGGCTGATGCCTTGTTGATATGAGAAAATTAAAGATCAGCTGGTGTCTGATTGTAATGTCATGAGCCAGCCCTGTGGCCTCTTAAGAAGAGGCATAAAACTAGTGTAATTTGGGCCAGCAGAAATATAGATGTGGAAGTCAGAAAACCAGAGAATACTTGGCTGATACACATAAATTTTTAAAGAACAAAAATAATACTTATTCTTGCAGATACTACAGAGAACATTAGTAAAATGTAGAATTTTATGATCCTTTGGATTTGATAGCTGGAAGGCTATCACCAGTGATCTCTTAAGATTTTTTTTTTTTTAAATTGGATACTTTATTTACATTTCAGATTTTCTCCCATTTCTCCATTCCCCCCCTCACCCAGAAACCACCATCTCATCCTCGTTCCTCCTGCTTCTATGAGGATGTGTACCCACCCACCCACACACTCCCACCTCCCTGCCCTCAAATTCCCCCACACTCAGCGTCCAGCCTTCACAGGACCAAGGACCTCCTCTCCCACCTGATGTTAGATCTCCCACAATGCCATCCTCCCCTACATATACAGCTGGGGCCATGGGTCCCTCCTATGTGCTCCCAGGCTGGTGGTTTAGACCCTGGGAGCTCTGGTTGGTTGGTATTGTTGCTCTCCTCATGGGACCACAAATCCTTTCAGCTCCTTCAGTCTTCACTCTAACTCCTCCATTGGGAACCCCATGATCAGTTCAATGGTTAGCTTTGACCATCCACCTCCGTATGTCAGACTCTGGCAGACCTCTAAGGAGACAGCTATATCAGGCTCCTGTCAGCATGCGCTTCCTGGCATCCACAAAGATCAATTTCAGTAGACACTGCGAGAGACAGAGCTGTACTGTAGTTGGCTTAAAGAATTATAAGGCACGAGGCTGAAAGCTTCCAGGCATTTCATCTTCTTTACAAGTTTTTGACCTGATGTTAGATCTTTTTTCTCTTCATTTTTCCCTACTCTGGGCCTAGAGCTGGCCTGAGCTAGGGGCATGGTAGAAAGACTTAAAATGTTTGTATCTCTGGAGGGAAAGACACCTTGGATAGAAAAGCTTGGTGTTGCTGAGTTGAATAGTGCAATGGTTATTCTCAGTGTGCAGCTGCAGGTCGTGTCAGACAGAATCATGTCTCTGTGGGCCGGGGGGAAGTGGGGCTGGAAGATGACAGAGTTTGTTTTCTATTGAGTGAGGAACCTTGGGATGGGAAGCTGGATTAGAATGCATCTTTTCAGAGGTGGTGGGAGACGTGTTAATTTCATCCAGAAATTCTGCCCATGAAGGAGTGAATTGTGGTGGTACAGTGTGAGGATACATCTAAAATCTGAGGCAGAAAACTGACCCTAGTTAAAACTGAAGCTTGTGTGCATAAAGTTCTTCGGGAATAGGAACTGAGGGTATACACAGGATGGGCTGTTATCATGAAGATTATAGAGATGGAGTAGTTAATGGATGAACACATACTGTCAACTGTGCTTGAAATACAGATGGCTAATTAGTGCTCATAAAGCCAAGATGGTGGTTCAAAAGGTGTGAGTTGAAGGGGGCACCTGAGTTTTTGAGAGATTAAAGTCAATGCTGGGGTCCCAGTCAAGGATAATGATTGAGGGACCCTGATTGTATGGAGGTGCAAAGTTCCAGATTTGTACAGAGTTAGGAGTTGAAAGCAATGGTTAGGACAAGAGGCTCTGTGTTTTCAAGCCTGAGGACTCAGTAAGTTACCTCAGTCTCCAAGCCCCTGCTTCCAAACACACTTTGAGCCTGTGTCTTGCTTGCAATGCTGTCTCCGCCCACTGGGGGGCGGGGCTCGAGGGCGAGGCTAGTGGCTGTTCAGAAGCCTCGAGAGCCATCAGTTCCTACCAGACTCCTGCTGGGGGTCCCATCCACCCCATGGCCGGGCGCAGGTCTTCAAACGTCTTCCCCCTCCCAGGCAATAGTGGTGGTGGCCTGGAAGGGCCAGTTCCCATGCGAGTTGACACCCCAACCTGGTTGAGCAGCCAGGCAGCTACAAGCAGGTTAATGGTGCGGCCAGGTATGCGGCCAGGTATCTCTCCAGGCCCTGAGGTATGGGGAATACCTCTAGGTCCCTCACCTTATGAATTCCGAGGTGGGATAGCACCCTACGGAGCTTGTGAGACAAGGGCCTGGTCCCAGAGTTCCTCTGAGGATACCTGCCCAGGACCCTATATCGCTTTGAGGTACATGCCAAATTTGGCACTGCCAGAGGACGTTTCAGCCATACAGAAAGAGATGGAGCAGCTGGCCAAGGAGCTGAGACAGAAGAGGATGACCCTGGGGTACTCGCAGGCCGATGTGGGATTCGCTGTGGGAGCTATGTTTGGGAAGGTTCTCAGCCAGACAACCATATGCCGCTTCGAGGCCCAGCAGCTCAGCCTTGCCAACATGTGGAAGCTGCGACCCCTGCTGAAAATGTGGTTAGAGGAAGTAGATGAGAAGAATCTTCTGGGCATATGTAGAATGGAGATGATCCTGCAGCAGGCCCGGAAGCGGAGACGTGCAAGCAGAGAAAGACGCATTGGGAGCAATCTGGAAAAACTGTTCTTGCAATGTCCAGAGCCCACGCCCCAGCAAATCAGCTATATTGCTGGACGCCTCCGGCTGCAGAAGGACCTCGTCCAAGTGTGGTTTTCTAACCGGAGCCAGATGGGCAGTTGGCCAGCCAATGATACCTCCCGGAGGGAGAATATGGGGGCAAATGGGCCTCCTTTCCCAGGGCCACCAGTGTGCTTTCCCCTGGCACAGGGGCTCCATTTTGATTTCCCCCATTATGGGGGGTCATGTCTTACACCCCTGTACTCCTCTACCCCATTCCCTGTAAGAGGAGCCCTTTTGTCTGCCCCAACCACCACTCTGGGCCTCCCCAGGCTGTCAAGCTGAGGGGCCTACCCTGCAGGGCAATGAGAGAATAGAGAGAAGTGGGTTTTGTTTCAGGGTTAGCATTCAGTTCTCTGACTTAGTGGTAAGGGTGGGAATTGTTAAGAAAGTCTTGGGAGGGAAGTTAAAGCTTATCACTTGCTTAGTTTTGTTCTTATCTTTGTTTACCCCTGGTGTTGGCATTACAATATATTTATGGTTTTAACCTTCTGTTTCTTTTTTATTATTAATTAAAGATGCTCACTGTTCCTTATTGTTATCAGGAAACATAGTTTCTTTCTTTATAAACACAGTATAAAATTTAAAACACAAGTCACATAAGACTACTATACCAGTGTTCATTAAAAACAAGCAGAGCTTTGTACAAACACAAAATTCAGGGTAAGAGTTACTCCTTATGAAGGCCTAGAAATGCCATTAGAAAGTAGCACACAAAAGCCTTTCAGACACAGCTTCCTTGCAAGCCACCCCCTCACCCCATTCACTTTTCACAGCCGTCCAGCCAATGAATGTTTGGGTGGGTGCGGGTGTGAGGCTCTCAGCTCTGTCCTCTGCCTTCTTGATGTATGTGCACTGCCCTAGCCTTGCTTGTCCTCACATGGAAGTCATTCTAATATAAACCAGTTTGTCACCAAGGTTGATAAGGTGGACTGCCATAGCTGCAGCCCCAGTTCTCAAGCTTAGAGCTCCACTTTGTTTGTTCTTTGGGAATGCCCTTACTTTGTTTGGGGCTGAGATGTGCTTTTAAGGTCACACTTATCCTAGTTCCCAGGTGGCCTGAGTGTGAAGGCCTGGGTGCCTTCCTTCTCCTGGCTTTCACATTGACTCCACAGAAGGGTTTCCCAGCAGTCAGGCACTTAAGTCTCTTTCCAACCTGTTCTCCAGCGCTGACCTTGCAAGTTCCAGTCAGTTACTAACCTGCTGGGACAGAGTGTTGCCCCAGGATCGAGCATGGAAACTACTGGGCTTGATCCCAGCAACAGTTTGTTTTTGTTTTTTTAACATCTCTTTGCCTTTTGATTTTTCTGTTGTAAACCTGCATGCAGGATATATTAAAAACCCATCACTGGTTTGACTGGGGTAACGGCTTCTTTCTGCGTACGCATCACCTTCTGCTTCTCTGCTTTTTCCTTCATCAGGGTTCCAAAGGATTCTCCAAAGGTATTTTCAAAGATACACATTATTACTTTTATTTTGGACTTTGTTTTCCAAGTTAACTTTGTTTTTTTTATTTTTGTTCTTGGCCTTTTCCTAGTTCCTTCTGGGTCTTTTCATTATTCTTTTTTTAATGTATTTTTAAATGAATTCTTTGTTTACATGATTTTTTTTTGTCTTGTTTTGTTCTGTTTTCTGGTGCCTACGTGAGATGCCTCTGCAGAGTCAAAAGTATATGCCTGGAAAACTACATCATGACCCTTTGATCCACAATTCCAGGACTGATTTTACCAACACACATGAGTCAGACAGCTCTATTACCTCCACTTAGGATTTTCTTCCTTTCACTGAAAAAACTGATACTTCACTGTTAACTAACATGCCTGGTTAAATTTGCCATTGCCACCATTTTCTAAGTATAAATTCAGTTTGTACATCTAAATTATATTAATACTATGCAACTATAGCACTATCCTGTTCCAATTCCATGTCACAGTTCTAAAACATAAAGTCTGTAACCACTAAGCACTAACTCCTTCCTCCTCCCCCAGCCCATCTGCTTTGTGACTCTGAATTTGTGGACTCTAGACAATTATATTAGTAGGTTCATCTAATGATTGTGCCCTGTGTCTGACTTCACCTGACACACTTTCAAGGCTCATATATGTTGCAGTATTTACCACTTGATTCTGTTGTATGACTGGATAAGACTCTGCTGCATAAGTTCACATGCTTTGTGTAAAACTCAGCCCTTGGTTAGCCCTCTGCAGTCCACTGAGCAGAGTGCAGCCAGGAAGAGATGTAGGAAATACCTGCTTTCAGTTCTCTTGAATAAACACCTAGAGATGGAACTGCTGAATCAGCTGATTCTTTTAACTTATTTATTTTCTTTTAATAATATTTTATTAATTCTTTGAGAATTTCATTCAATGTATTGTTTATATTTTTTCCAAGCACCCAGGTCATCCAAAATCCATCCCCATCTCTCTACCATCCCAGTTGGTGTTTTCTCTCAATCTCCCTCTCACTCCATCCCAGTTTTCGATGCCCAAATAGTCTTTGAGTGTAGGGCCTGCTTTGATGTGGGTTCAGCCTACACGAGGTCAAATCAGTAAGGAACACTGACTCTCCTTCTCCCAGCAGCTGTAGAACGCCCAGCGATCATCAGTGGTGGGACAGTGCATGCTCGCCCTGCCTTCTCCTGGCTGGTATTTTCTCTGCTCAAGCTTCAAGGTTGTGGGCATCCTGTCACAGTCACTTTAGTTCTGTGCAGAATCCCTGTGGTGTACAGAGGACATTTTTCCCTGTAGTCATCCACCACCCCTCACTTTTACAGCCTTGCCACCACATCCCCTCATCCACAGAGAGTCGTGAGCCTTTGGGGGAGTGGTTTGATACAGATGTCCTATTTAAAGATGAGCACCCTGCAGTCTCTTATTCTCTGCATGTTGACCAATCGTGGGTCTCTGTTAATTGACAGCTATTGCAGGATTATTAACTTGTCGAGATACTTCCAAAGGTCTTCCTCAGCAGATGTGCCATTCTGAATCCTCTCAAGGAATATATAGGTTCAGTTCTCCAAGACCCTGTCAACACTTGTTACCCCCACATGTTCCCATTATTCCCATCCTAGTGGATGTGAAGTGATAGTTGTGAGTGGCATAGTTTGCATTTTCTCCAATGAATGGCATTTTGCATATGATACTAAGCTCATATGCCAATTGCCCATTTGTATTTCTCTTCTTTGAAGAAATGTTGATTCAGTTATTTTTCCCTGTTTTTAAACTGGTACATTTTACCTTACATATTATTAAAATCTTTTTTTCTTGTAACAGTTTAAATTTACATTAAGTAGCAGTTTCTTATATTCTCTTTTACAGTCTCACACTTGCTATTTAATTTTTATTGTTTATATTATTTATTTACATTTCAAATGTTATCCCCTTCCCAGTTTTCTCTCCATAAGTTCTCTGTCCCATTCCCCCTCCCCCTGCTTCTATGAATGTGCTCCCTCACCTACCCACGCACTCCCACCCTCTCACCCTGGCATTCCCCTACACTGGGGCATCAAGCCTTCATAGGACCAAGAACCTCTTCTCCCATTGATGCCAGATAAGGCCATCCTCTGCTACATATGGTGCTGGAGCCATGGGCCCCTCTATGTGTACTTTTTGGTTGGTGTTGTAGTCCCTGGGAGCTCTAGGAGTGGGGAGTGAGGTGTCTGGTCTGTTGATAATCTTATTCTTCCTATGGGGTTGTAAACCCCTTCAGTTCCTTCAGTCCTTCCTTAACTCCTCCATTGGGGTCCCCAAGTTCAGTCCAATGGTTGGCTGCAAGCATCCTCATCTGTATTGGTCAGGCTCTGGCAGAGCCTCTCAAGAGACAGCAATATCAGGCTCCTGTCAACAAGCACTTCTTGGCATCAGCAATAGTGTCTAGCTTTGGTGGATGTATATGGGGTGAATCCCCAGGTGAGGCAGTCTCTGGATGACCTTTCAGTCTGTGCTCTACAATTTGTGCCCGTATTTCCTTTAGACAGGAGCAATTCTGGGTTACAGCTTGTGAGATAGATGAGTGGCCCCCTCCCTCAACCAGGGGCCGTGCCTAACCTCTGGATATGATGGCCTCTACAGGTTTTCCCACCCCTTTGTTGGGTATTTCAGCTAATGTCATCCCCATTGGATCCCGGGAGCTACTTGGTTTCCTGGCATCTGGAAATTTTTGGTGGCTATCCCCAGTTCCTCATCCCCCATTGCTACATACCTCTGTTCAATTTCCTGATCCTCTGTTCTTACTTTCCCTCTCCTCCAACACCTGATCCTGCCCCTCTTTCCCCTCCCCCTCCTTCTTTACTCCCAAGTCCCTCCTATCCTCTACATTCCATGATTATTTTGTTCTCCCTTCTAAGTAGGACTGAAGCAGCCACATTTTGGTCTTCCTTCTTCTTGAGTTGTATCCTGGGTATTCTGAGCTTTTGGGCTAATATCCACTTATCAGTGAGTGAATACCATGTGTGTTCTTTTGTGACTAGGTTACCTCACTCAGGATGATACTTTGATGATACTTTCTAGTTCCACCCATTTGCCTAAGAATTTCACAAATTCATTGTTTTCAATAGCTGAGTAATACTCCATTGTATAAATGTACCACATTTTCTGTATCCATTCCTCTGTTGAAGGGCATCTGGGTTCTTTCCAGCTTCTGGCTATTATAAATATGGCTGCTATGAACACAGTGGTGCATATGTCCTTTTTATATGTTGGGGCATCTTCTGGGTATATGCCCAGGAGTGGTATAGCTGGGTCCTCAGGTAATGCTATGTCCAATTTTCTGAGGAACTGCCAGACTGATTTCCAGAGTGGTTGTACCAGCTTTCAATCCCACCAACAATGGAGGAGTGTTCTGCTTTCTCAAAATCCATGCCAGCATCTGCTGTCACCTTGGTTTTTGATCTTAGCCATTCAGAATAGTGTGAGGTGGAATCTCAGGGTTGTTTTGATTTGCATTTCTCTAATGACTAAGGATGTTGAACATTTCTTTAGGTGCTTCTTTGCCACTCAAGATTCCTCAGTTGAGAATTCTCTTTGTGGCTCTTTACTGTGGGGCCGCGTAAGAGTATCCTGGTTCGTGGCTGGGCATGAGCCTGGAACCCCGAGACTCTAAGTGAAAAATGGCAGGTGTTCAGCCAAGTCCCCAGAAGGCAGAGTACCCACACGCTGTCTCGTCTCCATAGACCTACATTGTTCAGTCTCGTAAGCCATTACAGCCCCTCCCAACATGTCATTGGGATTTGCCTTCTCCAAAGCCTCCAGCCTCTGGAACCTTAGACTTCTTCCTGTATGTGGGACCCGCAGTGTGGAAACCTGCCCCCTGGGATACCTCCACCACCATGGCTACATTTTCCCACATTTTACCCCAATTTCAATAGAGTTATTTGGCTCTCTGGAGTCTTAACTTGTTAAGTTCTTTGTATATATTGGATATTAGCCCTCTATCAGTTGTAAGATTGGTAAAGATCTTTTTCCAGTCTATAGGTTGCCATTTTGTCCTGATGACAGTGTCCTTAGCCTTACAAAAGCTTTTCAATCCATCAATGTAATCCACTATATAAACAAACTCAAATTTAAAAAAAAACACATGATTATCTCATTAGATGCTGAAAAAGCATTTAACAAAATACAACACCCCTTCATGGTAAAAGT